AATTGCAAGAAGAAAAACTAAAATATACCGCAGAACACAACGTGATTTTTTTTTTTTAGATCTGCTAAAGTTTACAAATGTGTCGACAAAAAAATGTAAAAAAATTTTGTTAAATTTCAAAACTTAAATGTTTGTAAAAAAAAACAGCATTTCACTTTTTCTGTTTTGTTTTTTCATAACCGCTGAAAATTTTCAAAGAGGAATTTCTGTTTCCGAAAAGAAAAAAAACAAAACCGAAGCAATTACAGCAGTTTCTAATGGTATTTTATAATACGATTTCTTTTTTCTTTTTATCCAAAAAATCAAAATTGCAAGAAAAAAAATTGTTGTTTGCTCAGTTTTTATTTTATAGGTGCCAACAATTTTTTTTTTTTTTGTTGTATCAAAGTTTGCTGACAATAAATCAGTAATTGGAGGTAACAGTAAAAAGGATTTATTGATGTTTAACAGCAATAGTTATGTGGGTAACAGCAGTAATAATAAGTCTCGGATATTATGCATAACAGTTGATCAGAAAAAACCAACAACAATAAAACAAAGAAAAAGAAAGATATATTATGGTGTAATAAATAATTGGCCCTACGATTACCAATGTTTTGAAGACGAATACACTGTGTGAAAAAATAGTTTCTTCTTTTTGGATACAACAATTTACAATTACCTATAATCAAATTATATCATTTTGCAGAAGTTAATTGCCATCAGTTAGAAAATGAATTTTTTTTTTTCCAATATATGCTATACACAGTTTTTATTATGCCAAAAAATTTTTCCATATTAACAAATGTTTCAAAAAAATTTTCTTTTAAACTTTATTCCATTGTCTTATTTTAACCGTACGTTTTTTTTTGTTATCTTGATTACTGCATATACTTAATCTTGCTTCTAAATTATCACGGGTTCAACAAATATAAGAGTTTTTGTTGGGGATAAACAACATCAAGTTGGCATCATATAATTTGCTTAATTTTAAAAATAAATGCAATGATTAGATTTACTAATCTTTTTTTTTTGTTGCTTTTCTATTCTTATTAATCTTATAAGACAGAAGAGCCTATTGTTGACAAGAAACTTAAGTTTGAAAAAACTAAAGAAAAGTTCTGCTAAAAACAGTTACATTTGATCACGTGAAACAGTACAAAAATTTTGTTGGTTTATACAAATTGCTGTCTTTCAAGCAATAACATTTATTAGTGTAAATAATTGGTGACCTGTAATCTAAAATTTA